TATATATATATATATATATATATATATATATATATATATATATATATATATAACAGCATTCAAATATAGTAATAGAGTAATGCAATATTTTAAAAAAATAACGATAAATTAATATCATACGTGACACTCACCGTGTGCAGTTTTCTTATTTAATAATGTTAGTAAACGCTTCTTACAAACACTTTTCACGATGCATTCACACAAGTAGTCCGACACCTTAAGTCGCGCGAGCGGACGTGCTCCTCTTCTTATAAGAAATCTGCATGGGTCTTATCGTGCATACTGCAATGCCATCTACGTACTGCATAATACGATGTACAAAAGTTACGTATACATTTATATTTGCGCTCATTAAATTTAGATAATTACATAAACACAATGCGTCTGTGTTACTGTGTTATTCGAGATTTATTGCATTTTATTACATTTAATTATATATAATAATATAACCTATTATATAATATACTGAGAAAAAAATTATATTAAAATCAACAAATATTACTTTGATGGGTGCCATTAACATATTTATTTAAATCTACATTCTCTTTATTTAAATCAAATATTGTTTACCTGATTTAAATAAATAATATTTGGTTTAAATAAAGAGAATGTAGGTTTAAGTAAATACATTAATGGCACCCATCAAAGAAATATTTGTTGATTTTAATATAATTTTTCTCTCAGTGTATGAACTACATCATGCAGTTTAATTTAACAAATTAAATATATTTTTCCGAAGCACACATTACAAAATATTATTTTGTTCTGTTTATAATATTAATATTATTTTGTTTATAATAGTAATATTATTTTGTTCTGTTGATATTTTATTTGCGTTTTAAAAAAGAGCGCCCGTTTTGAATGTTTTCAAAATTCTCCACATATTTTAACGTCGCGAAATAATTTAATATTTTCAATTCATCAGTTGTATATATAATTTTCAGTTGTATACGATCCTCGATTTTAAAATGACTCTTGAAATATCTTTTTTTCTTATAATAGAGTTTCAAATTATTACTATATTAACGTGCAAGCAGTTAAGACGCACCTTATAACACGAGCACGACTCTAAGAAGTCTCGCACATTCTTATGGCTAGTATTACATAGTTATCAACGTTGTGCATCACCAGAGACTAACGATGTAAATAATCCGAATCGTCTGTCGCGACGAGAAGCATTCTCAGAAATGCGAAAATTCGATGTGCATCTTCCTACATTGCAAGTCCCACGTAGTAATAGATTACGGTAAAATTAAAATATTCAATAAATTACACTGTGTGCGTCCAACATACATTGTGTAAAAATTATAGAAATGATCAACTCATACTGCCTTTTTTAACCGAATTTAATGATCTCATGAACACATTATCACGTCTATAATTTTAACTTCTCTTCTGACAATGTCAAACAATAAAAAGAAATTATTTGACATCAGTACTAACTTCTTATTGTTTAATATATTTGAATTGTACCTAATTATTCGTTTAATATATTATTATATATTGTTTAACTATTCGATACTGAATTTATTATATTTCCCTTCTTTTATGGAAAAAATACAATAACACACTGTAAATGGCTCTAAATTTTTATATATAATCCTTTATTTTAAAATAATAACTATAACCTATGCAACACAAACGTTAAAATACATCCTAGAGATATCCTTGAGATATCTGGATTTTTCTGAAATGTCTTTAGAATATATTTTGGACACTATTTGTGTTGTATAGGAAAATGTGCCAATATGTGTGCTTTTTGCTCTTTAATTGTTTTTTAAGTCATAGCAACAGTGGCAATATTAACTATAATTATTATCATAATCACATTATGAATAGTTTTTGTAAGACAAAGGCAATACAAATATGTGTTTTAACTCACCGGAAAATGGTAATAGTATTAGATAGCAATGTTTATTAATAACAAAGAAAGGCTTAATATAAACGTACACGGAGTATCGACTGTTATCATGAATACGATAGTGGAACGTACGCAATATTCGTGATTACGGAAATCTGTTACAAAGTCAAGTCAATCTACAAAATATAAAATTAAAATTGCAATATTATACCTCTTCTTTGAACTACTATATTATAAACAAAGATCATAAATTCTATTATATGAGAGAATAGAAAGCTACAAATCAACCCAGCTTACTTATAATTTTCTTAATAAATCAATTTCAATGCTACGCGAACTTTGTCTCCTTAATGACGGATTCAGCAGTACATATCAACGGTCAGCAAAGTTCTGACAGTATCATCTAACAACTTAATGCAGACATTCCCGAGTATTTTCGCGTTAACCAACGCGTAAACGTCGCTGATATAAATTATTGTGTCAAATAAAACGGTAATTCCAAATACAAAGGTAATGTTTTTATTTTTAATTACAAAAGTACATTGTTGAAGTAATTTAGGTTTTGTATAGTATTCGTGAATAAAAAGATATTACGACACTTGTGACATATAGTGCATTTTACACAATAAGCATATAATAATGAGAAAACGCATTACATTAAATACTAAGATTAAAAATATGAAATACTATGGAACTTAAAACTTATGAAGATACGTAACAAATTAATAGTACATAATTATACAAGATAATTCGTAAAAAATTAGTCGTACAGTTAGAAAAATAATAACTCTATTTAAAAAATAAAGTAAGAAATATAGAATACATTGTTTTTATACAAAACTCGTATACCACTAATGAAATATCCTATATAATCAAATATTATATTGTGTCTATTTCTTTCTCTCTCTTATGCGCTTAAAATCTACAAAATAAGACATATTTATTAAAAAGATAAATGAAGCAAAATGTATTGTTTTATAATATTTAATTTTATCATTGAGAGAGAAGAAATTATCTGTATTTAGAATTTTAACTGCTCATATAATCGTTGAAAATATTAAGAAACTTAATATCTTAACTTAACAATCTTAATCTAAATAAACGGTAATTCCGTTTGGTAACATATCTAATTCTTTATTTGTAACGGACATGAAAGTATTATCTTCCACGAACAAATGCGTCAGTAAACTATGTGGACTAATTGTTATGTCTGAAATTGTTATAAAATAATTTGAACTAGCGTTAAAAAATTGAATATTCTGTAATGGAATTATCCAATCATTAGGCAGTTTTATTAATTGGTTTTGTGATAAATCTAGAAATTCTAGATGGCTCAGATGCTTAAAAGTATCACTTTCTATATTTCTGATGCGATTTCCTCGTAATGATAACATTTTTAAAGACGTTAAATGTTGGAAATATTTTGAAGCAATATATGTTAACTTGTTATAACTTAATGATAATCTAATAAGAGATAAATCAAAAGTGAATAAAGGAAAACTTGAAAATTCATTATAATCAAGTAAAAGTGTTTTCAAAAATTGAAGATCATTATATCGTATATCAGGTTGACTCTGTAAATTATTGTGAGATAAATCTAAATACTCTAAATAAGGTGTATATAAATTAATATGACCATTTGCTGCGCCATGTGATAACGATAAAATGTTCAATTTTTTCGAAACAATTTCAATGTTTGTTAAGGGATTTCCATCGAGATATAATTCTATAATTTCTGTTATATTTTGTAATATCAAATTGTATAATTTGTTATCTTCCAAATGTACAACGCGCAATGTCTTTGGAATTTTATTGAAAAAATCTTTATTTAAATTTGTAGCGTCAATATTGTTTAAATATATATGTGATAATTTCGGGAATGATATATTAAACGTGTCTGGTAACGACACTATATTATTGTCACATAAAAACAGATGTTCTAAATTTGGCAAATATATGCCAGTTGTATTGAACACCTTTATTTCCATATATTTTTCATTCTTTTTTATTATTTCACCTTCCGATTTAAGGCTCTCATCTGCATCTGGTTTTTGATGGCATAAATTAAGTACTTTAAGATTACCATGCTCAATGAAATTGTTGTTGTTAAGATTAAATTTGTTTTCAGATATATCCAAGCAAATCAAATTTCGCACACGATTCAAAATTATTGCTGATATATTCGTCAAATTATTTCCTCGTAAAGATATATGCTGTATCGAATCGCTGTGTATTAAATTATCTTTTAGGAATTTATTTCCTAAATTCATTTCTTCCAATTTCAGTGTATTAGAATTTGTACAGGGAACGTCCCTGAATGGTTTGATTTTGACATCATAAACTCGCTCATAATGTTTTGAGAAAACAGATACTGTTTTCTCAATATTATAATTTGGTGTATTCAAGCTTGCTAAATTAACAAGCAATAATAAAACAAATACGGTAATCTGAAAAAAAATATATAATAAGAAATAATAAAATATATATTACAAGAAAATATAATTCAACTTAGGGACTGAAACCAATGTAAAACTCGCCGAGTTCATATTTCGATGGTAACAGACACAGAAAATGATCTTCATGCTTATTCGAAATAATATTCAATAAACACCAACACTAACAATAATATCATATCAATGTTATAACTTTTTACAATGTAAATACAGTATGTATGTTGTGTGCAATAGTTATATTGTTGAATGAGAAATAATAACACTGATGTAATGTTACTGTTAATTGTGTTTACTGCATAGAAATGCAATAATTGTAGCGTAAAAACCTTTAATGCGTACTTTTTTAATCGAAAATTAAATTTAGCGAATTTACATCAGTTTCAATTGAGGCTTGTCGAATGATACATATTCGAATGATACATATCTGGGCTATTCTTTTCAATATCATAATTACTATTATACAGCTTTCAACAGTATGTATAAAATTTACTTCTACCGTTATAATTTAAAATGTGTACTTGATATATAAATGATTGAAAAATAAATATAAAAATAATAATAATAAAATAACATGAATAGATGACATACCATTTTGTAGAAAAATCTTTGGTTAACTTTGGTTTAAACGTTTAACTGTTACTCGCTTGCAACAAAATCAGACTGTGGGTGCTCGCACAGCTCGCAATGTTTTTATCATGCAAGTGTGACGTAATGATGAAGATCAACAATATTTTTTTTCGTGACATCAGCGGATGTTCCGGTTGTAGCAAAGAGATTATCAAGTGACATTTATAATCACAAAAATATTCTCTTTCCTTTTCCTCTCTCTACGAGATATTTATAATATAAATAAAATTCTGTTGCAAAATCCTCAATCAATTTTAATATATAAATCTGTAAAGATTTATGTAAAGTGTAATAAATAATAACAATAATATATGATAAAAAATAATATATCTATGATGTAGATGCACATATGTGTAAGAAAATACATACAAATACAAAAGGTAGATTGCAATTTATGATATCAAAATACATTTTAAAACAATTATTTAATATATTTTTGACAAATATTCTTAACTCTTAAAATAACTATACTGCTGTATTCTGTTCATAGTATTTTTATTCGGTTTATGTAACGTTACAATGCAATTTGTCACATTATTTTGTAACATACATTATCCTAATTTCACAATTTATACAAACCTGTAATTATCATGATTAACGCAATTAATAAGTATTATCCTGCATAAATTACTGTTAATGGATGTAAAATAACGACAATTATTAATATATTTATTTGTATTTACTATATATATTTGAAACTGTAGGATTGCAGTTAATATACACGAATTTAATTTTCAATACTACAAACGATACGAGACATACGCCTTACGATGATTGACCGTCGCGTTTCTGTTTTTGTCAACGGAGAAACCAATTTGCGCACAACATTGAAATCTCAACTCGATGGTCCAATCTTCGTAACCGATCCAAACATCTACCTATTAACATTTCGTGACACTTTCATGCAACTTGTGCGCCAAATTTACGGTGACATTTTTCGGCAAGTTGTTGAAAGAGCCAGCAGCCAGATACTCCAGCGGATTGCTCACCAGGTACACCTCCACCAATGGCAGCGTGTTTGATAGAGACAAAGACTCCAACGACGTAAATTGATTCTCACTTAAGTCCAAGTGTCGCAGAGACTCGAAGGCGCTGGTCCATCCTTCCGGTAGAGAGCTCAGTTTATTGTTAGACAGATCCAACCTCTCTAGACGATCAAGATAAGCGAATCCGTTGACATCGACTTCCTTGATTTGGTTTCCGTTCAGCAACAACTCCACCAATTTCGGCATTTGTTTGAAGACGTTCTCGGGTACTGATTGTATGCTGTTGCAACTCAATGATAGAGTGGTGATATTTGATACAGCCGAAATATTGATGATGTTCTGGAACTGATTGCCACTCAGATCCAACATCCTTAAAGACTCCAGTTTCGCGAAAGTTCCCGGATATAAGGAACTGATAGCATTCTTAGATAAGTTCAAGTAGACCAAATTACTGGAACTTGTGAAAGCCTCCGAGTCGACGGTGCGAATGTCGTTTCCGACGATGGAAAAGTAACGCAGATTGTTCATGCCAGATAACCACAAACCTTTAGTGGTCGGATTATTCGAATAGCGTATCAAATTTGTAAATTTGTTATTATCTAATAATAAGGTAGTTACGTTATGTCCCTTTCCGAAGGATGACAAAGAATTGATCGAGTTATCTTGCAGGATAAGATACTCTAAGCTCGCCGGCAATAGCTTCACGAAATTGATGCCAGCCATATTGTTGCCGGAGAGATCTAGAATCTTCAGTTTAGGAAACGGAGTTTCCGTTGATGCGGTTAGGTCAGCAATACTGTTTTTACGAGCCGACAGTATTTCCAAATTGGGGTAACTTCCGGGAATCATGACGTTATACATGGTGCTAGACTTAACTGCGTTGTTTAAAATGAGAGTCACCAATCTCTCATGACCTCCGAAGGTGAAGAGGTCCCGAACATCAACGAATTTATTATTGGAAAGGTAGAGATTGAATAGTCTAGGAAGCTTTCTAAAGGCACCATCTGCAATAGTCTCGATCTGATTGTTGCTGAGGTCGAGGCAGGTGATTAGATGACTGGAGATGAAGTCCCGGCCAACGTGCGTAATCACTGCATTGCTGAAGTTTACGGAGAGGATGTTATCGTTACAACGTGGATTTGACTCGTAGTCATCACTAGCTATTGATAGTTTAGACCAACAAGCTAAAATGACGATGGCGAAAGCGACCTTCATAATGGAATCTCTGGAAGATAAAAAAACACTAATTTTAGAAATATTGAATAAAATTCTGATACTGAATAGCAATAAATAAAATTCTATAATTTTAATTGTCGAATATGACTTTGAATTTTAGAAGAAACTCACACAGCAAAAATATTCAAAATACATCATGGGGATATCCTTATAGAGATATTACGATATCTTTAGGATATCCTGATGATATATTTTGAAACTTTTCTGTTGTGTGAGAGATATCCATTCTGAATTTATGAACTCCTAATAAACTGCACATATGTAATTTTAATTTATTCTAATATAAATTTATATATATATATATATATATATATATATATATATATTTATATAATTATAAATATAAATAAATATATATATATAATTATAAATAATATAAATTAATATAAATTCTTGATATTTTACATATTTGTAGACTTAAACTAGATAGTTAAATGCAAACAATTATCTATAACTGACTAATTTCTATTTAAACGAAAATTATACTCAACATATGAAAACTATACAAGAGGAATGTTGATTTGAAAAATCTTTTCTAAAAGAGTCGATCGAAGAAGAACTTGAATATATTACGATACTTACGTAGATGTTGCAGTTGCAAAGAATTATTAAGTAATGCAGACTGTTAGCTCGGTAGATATAGTTTAAATCAACGAGATTACGATAAGAAGTATCATAGAATGATAACAAGAAGCAAATACTTATGATCGATAAGATAATAAAAATTTGCAAGATTTTTATAGATAAACGTATTGATAATCGCATCACGCAACATAATGTAATTAATATTACTATCTCCACCATACACATACTATATTATAAACATTTAATAATCTTCTTTGCTATCGGTGGGAAGCTTTAATTGGTCGCTGCGCGTATTTCGAGTTTCAGCAATTGGATTTTCATATCGGTGTTTTATATGTTTCCACAGCCTCTGTAATAAATATAATTTTGGATGTTTTTTGGATTTCCTAATAATTTAATCCCAATCAACATTATAAATTTTTCAGTTTTCAACTGGCAAAAAATATAAAATTAAAACGGAACATTTTCTTGTATAATTGTTTACGATTTAAAAATCAAATTATATTGTAATATTTTTATATGTAATTTCTTGAATCGTTTTATTTATATATTTATAACTGCTCTTAAGACGAATTTATCGACTCACATAACAAAAATATCATTAAAAAATTGTTTTATTAAAAAACATAGAGATGACCGACATTAATCTTGTGTCATAAGTCATGGTCACTTATCTCAATACATAGCTCTTAAAGTATAAATAGAAATCTAATATGTTGTTTCCAAAGGATATACGAATTCACTTTCTGTTACCTAACAGTTTTATCAAAGAAAACTTTATCATTATAAATCTCCACAACCCACTTAAAAGAAGTATTCTTGATGTCTTTGATATTTAAAGGCAACTGTTATCAGATTGAAGTCAATAAAAAAGATTATTTGTAATATATCATGCATTATTTATCTTTATAGTTATTCAGTTATAAAATTGTATATATTCAGTTATAAAATTGTATATATATATGACTTTAATATTTAATAAATATTGAAATCATATTTTTTCAATATATAACAAGACTCAATGCATCACCAAAAACGCTCAAGATTTAATAGAAAATACTTTCAAAAGATGTGTTTCGTTGCTACAAAAAAATATATAAAATTATGCAATTCAGTAATGTGTAGAAAGTTTATTTAACTGCTAATTTTGTCGTATCTCATCCTAGTTGTACTTTGATATTGATGCTAGTACGCTTAAGCAAGAAAGATCGTTTACATAAGATATTATTTTGATGATCCTGTCACTTTGTAGTGACAAATATGGCATTTCTCGAAATGTCACCATCTATTAACCTCAAGCGCTGTCAGTGCTTTCAATATACATATAGAAACGGAGCATACCCCATTATTTACAGTTTCGAAAATATATTCACAGGTTCGGTCGTAAGCTCTTTCAAAGAACATCGTGGTAATCACAATAGCAAGTGTAAACGTAGAGCTTCGTTTACCCACGTAACGATAAAATAAACGTGCCGCCATATCGAGTTGCGAATTACGATGATCATAAATATTTGAAGAAATACGTGAAGTGAAATTTAATCGAAATATGGATTGTTATTTATTTTTCTATCAATGCGGTCGATTACTTATTTTTCGACAGCTTTTAAAAAAAGTGATATCTAACAAATACGGTGGCACGTTTCAGAAAATTTTAATTTCTAAGTTGCATTCCAAGCAACAGTTGCACATTCTTTTTGAGAAAATTTTACTCGATATTCTATAGTATATATAATCAATTTTCCTCAAAAGGACGTTTTAAAATGCAATCCTAAAAAGTTTATGTTTATTATATATGTACGATAATTGTGTATTATTATAAAAACAACTTATAAAATCCATAATCGTGTCCTAAATAGATATAAAAAGATATCACACTAAAGAAAGTAATAAATTTATTTTCGTCAGTTATATAATCTTTTACTTAATCTTTATATTACTTAATCTTATGAGTAATAAAATCACGGCTTTTTGAGAAGTCACTCTGTACTATTTCAATTACTTTGACAAAGCAAATTAATTGTTTATCTAGAATGTAATTTGTTTGATATTACACAAAAATGTGGTTATTATTTAAATAAAATCTTAATAATACTACAATTCTTACTGATAAAATATCATTAAGGACCGATAAAGTTTACTAATAAATAATAGTTTTGCATGTTCTTATGAAAACATTTATAATAAATTTATCTATTAAAAAATATTTATGAAATATAATGCTGAACGATATAAATTTATCATTTATCTTCTACTGTAAAGATATATCTTATTTCATCTTTTATATTGCTTTTTGCGAAAAGATAATAGCCAGAAACGAGTCATTCTCTATAGATAAGAGTTTTTATCTTTAGTAAATTTAACGTGAAAGAAGATAAGAAAGAGTGCGGCTCGAAAATATTAAATTTTTTCTCGACTATTTTTAATAAAATCTATTTCGCTAGTTTATATTATTTTATAAGTTATCTTTTACATAAAATGTGCACTTTTTAATATGTATAACATTTATAACCTGCTAAAAATTTCTCATAAATGACTGATATCATGAGACTGAATGCATGCAAGAATAGGGGTAAATGAATCAACACGTTAAATATTTTATTTGTAATACTTTCGTGTTTGTGTTTTTAACAATTACATCATACAAAAAATTTAGAATCCAACAAATAATTTACAGCTGGAATTATAGCTAGAAACTATATTTAAAAATAGTATCCAGTTTTTGTGAAAATATGTACAGTTATTACTTTTCTACAATGTAACTTCAGAATGACTGACATGCATGGTACCATCGAGAGATGCTATGGGATTTCAAATGAAGTTCCATGAATGATAATAAAAAATTACAGGAAAAATTAAATCTGCAGTGTGATATATTTCTGCAAAATTATTGTGAATTATATTTTGCAAGTAATTATCATCCATGCTGATTAAAATTTCTTATTATTTCTCTATTAACATTAATATTAGAAATAATAAGAATATTTTAAATAATTTCCAAAACAACGTCAACACATAAATTCCTCAAACTACGCGAACTTCTGAAAAATAACGGGATCCTAAATAGTATCTCATCAATAGTGTCATTCAACATATTATTGAATTCAAATTTTCACGCTTTTTCCGCCGTTTCCGTATTTTCCGATATTTCCGCCTTATCTAATACTTCCGTCTTTTTCGATATTTTCTTATCGTGATGTAAAGTCCTCTGAATTAAAATCGGCTCTTGCAACACTTTTCGCGATATCCTGATCTGCCCGGATACAGGATCACGTCCGAAATATTTAACTTGTATCTCTTGGCCAACGTGGAGGTTCAGAGCGCTAGGATGATGAATCTTGCGTTGATCCAATTGCGAATTGGACAGTAACACCGGTACCATGTTGGGATGCAGCGTTACCATAACTCCGATTTCGCGAATTTCCATTATTCTCGCGGTATAAATGGCACCAAACTCCAAAGTCGGCTCATTATTTTTTTGCAAAATCTGATCTATCATATCCTTAGCTTCGACCATAGCATCTTCGTTCGGTGCGAATATAGAGTAGATGTTGTCGTCGATCGGATATATCTAAAATCAAGTATCATAAAGAATTTTAGTACACTTTAAATTTTAAAAATATTAAGTGACACTATCTAATACAGAAAAATTGTTTTTTATACTTCTTTTTATATAATCTTCTATAATTTCTTTTTATATAATTAGAAATTAAAATAACTTACGTGTACTCCCGTCTCTAAAAGTATCTTCTTCAGATTCATTCCGCCAACTCCGAGGAACTTTCCTCTCTGATAGATTGGTACTTCCAAATTATCAAGCACCGGCATCTTGTCCTTTCTAGTCTGTTGTGGTGTACTTATCACTTTGTTCATTATCTTAATAATTTCCATTGTAGCAGTTTTCGCATGATGCATACATTCCATTATGATCTTTAATGGAACCCCCGGTATCTTTATGTCGGCCTGCAAGGCAGTAAATCCGCGCTTGGTAGCTGCTATTTTAAAGTCCATATCTCCGAGGTAATCTTCTATTCCCTGCGAGCAAACGGAAAATATATAATCAATCGTTGAGATTAAATCACCCAATTTAAACTATGTCGATCTGAAGCCAGCTAAAAATATAAAGAGCTATTTAACTATTCAATTATTAAATGATCTAACAGCTGTCCTAATCTTCTAAGTACAAAAATATTTACCAATATGTCGATTAATATTTTGTAATCCTCGATATCTGTTTTATCTTTATTATATTTCGTCATCAGGCCGATAGCCACACCTGCAGCTGACGAAGATATCGGTACGCCTGCATCAAGCAGTGCTAAACTCCCACCGCAGACAGTGGCCATAGAGGAAGAACCTATTTTTGTAAAATATGAAATATTATATAATTTTTTAATCGTCATACTTTTAAAAAATTGCAATAAAACTCTGAGCAGTGCAAATTTTGCATTTACCAATTAATAGAAACTATAAGAACTGAGAGAAGTACATGAAAATAGATTAAATTCTGAAGAAAACAAAGAGAAGATCCGAGAACATTACTTTGAACATGTTTTATGTTACAATTTGTACGTCGAGCAAACTTACCATTTGATTCTAATACATCGCTAGTTAGTCTTATAGTGAAAGGATAATCTTTGGGAATAATCGGCCGTAAGGCTCTCTCCGCTAAGGCGCCGTGTCCCATTTCGCGACGACGCACCCGACTCCCGCGGCTTCCTATTTCATTTGTCGCGTAAGGCGGAAATTCATAATGGAGAAAGAAATTCCTCTCCTTCATACCGCTGCAAAAATGACAATTCATACATGAAGCGTTTGCCGTGAACAAATTGCCTCCAAATGTAAGCACGCGTGTATATTTGCACATATGAAATTTTCCTTTTTTTAATGTATGATTGTATATCTTAAAACTAAATCTTCCTACATCAATAACATGTCACGCTATTCTATAATATAGCTAGTAAAACAGCATTGACTACCAAATAAACGCATAAAAAAGCAAACGAAACCTAATTGTTCCACGAGGTGTATACCTGATTAACATTGAAACAGCATCCATCTTAAGCGTGCTTTCCAAGGAGTCCAAGGTCACAGTGCACATAACTTGTGTTTGACCTCTCTGAAATACAGCCGAACCATGCAGAGGGTTGAAGAGATCCACTTGACACGATATGTTACGTATGCGGTGCAACGAACGTCCATCACATCTGCAAATTATTAGTCTCAAATATTTGTATGATCACTTAAAAGTCGACAATATGTCAGAAATTGTGAACTGTATCCAGGAAAACGAAAATAACCACACGCGGAGAATTCTCATTGCTCACATCTAGCTTTAGTCCATATAAATGGTCCTAAAATTCGTTAGAGCTTATAACATAATATATTTTTAACTTTTTCAACAAATCGCGTACGCAAACATAGTCTAAATAAATATTACAGTAAAAGCAATGAATCCAAGATATCTTACAGATTTGTTAAATCAAATTAAAGCAATTTTGTTGATGAAAATCTTTTACGCGGTAAATTACAAGAATCATTTCTATTTTTTGTCCACATCTAACATTATAATTCGACATATATTTTCTTTTTTAATAGATATCATTGATACTCCCGCTTAATAGTTACAATATAACTTATAAATACCTGACATTCTTCTCAAATACTAGTGATCTGAAAACATCCTTAGTGAGTTTTGCGTAAATATTTTCCGCCAATCTAACGTCCAAATCCGCATTATTATTTTTCAATGTTTCTACAATATTATTCCTAAGATCGTTGATCGCATTATCTCTGGAGATTTTATCGTGCTCGTAATTGCAAAATATATCCCGCAGTTTTGCTTCCGAAAGTTCTTTCACTGAATTGGCCAGATTGTCGTCTTGCTGTTGCGTGTTTATCTCAACTTGTCTCTTTGCCTTGCCATGCGTCTTTTGCAATTTCATTATTGCGGCCACGATGTTTTGGCACTCCTTTACGCCGCACTTTATCGCCTTCCTCAGGTCTTGTTCCAATATTTCATTAGCTGAACCCTCCATCATAATGATTAAATTTTGCTTCGCTGCAGTGATAATGATATTCAATATGCTGTTTTGAATTTGATGTCTAGTAGGGTTGATCAAAATGTCATTGTTGATCATTCCGATTCTAACAGCACCTACAGGACCATTCCATGGTATATCAGAAACACTGAGCGCCGCAGAGGCACCATTAATGGCTATTACATCAGGATCATGAATGCCATCAATAGCTAACATGTTGCACATTACGTGAGTTTCAGAAGAGTATCCTTCTGGAAACAATGGCCTTATGGAGCGATCAATGAATCTGCTTGTGAGGATTTCATGTTCAGTTGGTCCAAGTTCTCTTCGTAGAAAATTTGTTGGTATCCGTCCAGCTGCTGCTGCTTTTTGCTTGTAGTCCACAGTAAGTGGGAGAAAGTTAGAATTGGCTAATATTTCCTTTTTACTAACTGCTGTGACCATAACAGAGGTATCTCCCAAAGTAGCTATCGCACTGCCATCAGCAAAGCGTGCATATTTGCCTGTAGACAAGCTGAGTTGTTTCCTAAATATGTGAAAATGTATGTGTCAATTAAGGGCATCAATGCCAAAATTTCCTGTTTAGACTACAAAATAAGATTATTTTCTTCCAGATTAAATAGGTCAAAAAATCGAAATTATACAGAATAGAATATATAAATTTAAAATATATGTGTATACACATAATCTATATAAAATTTTGTACTAGTATAACATTTATAATTTGAATGTGCTAAATTTCATTTAATTTAGACATTATCATCTTGACTTATGAAGATAATGACCATTATCACAGTTCCGCTCAAACATGTATAAGAAAAACAAGAAAAGCAAAGCATTTTCTCTCAAACAATTGTAAGTGTAATAAAAGCAATTTTTGGTGATCATTTGGTATATATCAGTTTGTCATTGGGAAAGCTTATATTAAATGTTTGATACATGTATTAAATATTCATATAGTACAAATGTTCAAAATATATCCCAGAGATATCCAAATATCTATGAGATGTCTACAATGTATTTTAGACATTTATATTGTATATATATGTAGTACATATATTAAATTTTTTATGTAAACTAGCCCAAAGATAACCTGGTATGTACCAAATAATCGCTATAAATCGCCTTCAATTATACGAATTTCAACAAAAAATATAATGTGATATAATCATTATAATGTATAATCAACACGTGCTTGGATATATAGGTTAAGATATATAAATGTGGAATTCTCACCCATCAGATAATTTGATAATTTCTGTACCAACGTTCGTGTGAAATGATTTACGAAATTTAATATAGAATACATTTCCATTTTTACATAAATTCCTACAAGCTAGTAATACTGGTTTATGATATCTTGATAACCTAGAAGTCATGTACACAATCATCTCTGATGGCGGTTTGCACGTAAAAGTATCTCTACAAACATCTCAAACCATCACCTTGGTCGCTTAAAGCCCATTCTACAATGGTAGTGAATAGTAAGAAATAGAAAGTAAGAGTAAGAAATTGATCAATCGCAGTCGAATGTGAGAAGAATAATCAACTATGATTGGTCCATTTCTTGTTCTTACTTTTTACTGTTTACTGCATTGTAGATGGGCTTTAGGCTGTGTTGAAATTTCATTCTGTGAATAGAGCCCGGTGAATGATGGTTGCGGCATACTTTGTGTGTAAAATTTTCAAATAAGAAAACAAATTTGCAAATAAAGAAAACGAAACAAAAAACAGATTTTTTTATTACTGAAGGACTTAAAAAAAAAACAAGTATATAGTTAAAATCTGGTAGAAAAAAGAAAACTGGTACAAGCTAGTGCAGCCAGCAATATTGCAGAAATAAAATCTGAAGTAGTCTTACGATTGCTGCTTGCACGTTGTTCTACATTCAAGTCTTTAAAGTCTTTTAAGTATAAATTTATTATTTACATGTTACAATATCTCTTCTTATACTACTGTACTATACAAGAGATAACATCACATTTTTACATCATCATTATCATATATATTATACGATCTTTTTACCATATAAATTAAAACCTAATTCCTGTTTGATCATAGCCTTCATAAGCAGTTTCTTCTTCGTTGTAGTTATCACACTCTAAACCTATATAATCTATTTCCAATCTAAAATGGCCGGGAATATCATCCGCTAATGTAATACCAAGATTTTTTATCTCGTGCAATTCGATCGGGACCTGTCGGTCTTGCACTCTGCCTTTACTTGTAAACACAAACTTGGAGAATGGAATCTTGATATATTGCCAATAGGGTCCACCTCTGGTATAGAGTACATATTGATACATGTCATTCCAACTCAAGTCAAACATGCCAGAAGTGTTGAGATTTATTACATAATTTCTTCCATCTCCTCTAACACGAAAGATGAGATGAGTGTATGGTGTCCAGTCGTGACGAATTTCACGTTTAAAAGACTTGTATTTAGGTGTTGTGGTAATATTGCAGTAACCAGCATATTTTATTTTGCCATCTTTAGGCAAGCGAGAGCTCAATATACCAGAAAATACACCAGTGCCAGTAGAAGATATTTCCAATCTAGGAGAGTAACAATAGTGAGCTATTAATATATAATTGATTAAGAAATTTATATGGTTTGTACTATTTAGTTTCCAAAATAATTATAGTATTGCATTTAAAAGTATTCCAAAATATAATACTATCCATATAAATGATCTATATGAGTCTGTGCTAAAATATATAAATATACTCTTCTTTTACTGCTAAGACTATTATTACCTATTACTTGTTGCATATTATTTGTACTTACTTGGCTGTTGAAAAACCTTGTTCATAATCGCTGTCACAAGTAAGAATCCATTTATCCAGTGATTTGGGATCATCTTTGAATCGCCATACAACATCAACTTCATTTGGTCTGTACAATAATATTGGGTCCATTTGAAAATGTTCTTTCACTTCCTTCATAAAAATACCGAACTCCTCTTTGAACTGTCGATATCCCTCGTGTATTCTTTGAAAAACATTTAGATCCTGTTCTACTGGTGGTCTATCATATATAATTTTACAACCTGCTTTTGGATCTCGTTCATAAAAATTCGATAAATTTGTTATATGGAGTTTTCTTCTACCAATCGCGGCATTTCTTAATATTTTTGTTAATATTCGTGTATTCATTTTTGTGTAAGACTATATTCAAAAAGCAGTAATTATTCTATATTTTTATTTGAGGTTAATTTTATACCGTATTTCTGGCACACGAGTACTCTAATATATACATGAAATATATATATATATAATTATATAGCAATTAATTCAAGTATCTGTTCCTTTTATGTTATAACTGCATTTAACTATGCTCAGCAAAACTTTCCAATTGTTGATACTCTCTCTCTCTCTTTCTCTCTCTCTCTCTCTCCTCTCTCTCTTTCTCTTTCTCTGGTTGCAGGCCTAATTCGGTGCCCTTTTACAATAGGTGCGTTCGGGGAGCTCGCTATTAGCGCTATTTAGTGCTATCATGTCATTGGTTGCATTCAGCAGAGGAAGCTGCTTTGCAACTGTTGTAAAATTCGTGAATCTGATTGGAATATGCTCTTAATTTTGGTTAAATCCAAGAGCATGTACCAATCAGATTCACGAATTTTACAATAGTTGCAAAGCAGCTTTCTCTGCTGAACGCAGCTATTATATCCTTGTTGTATATCTAAGGAGCGATAAAGATAGAAGAACGCGGTAGCGTTAGTATCGTGCTCTCCGAACGCACCGCAAGTATTAAGTTGGAGTTTATGCTTAATAAGGATATATAATGGGTGCTTACCAGTTGCGTACACTTTGTTACACAAAACCAGTTTATTGGTTGCATATTATCTTACAAGATATTTTTGATAATATGTGACTAATAAACTGATTTTGTGTACGTGTGTGTCAAGATGTGTTAAGCAATTGGAAAGCACCCAAAGGGTTCTATAGGTTTAGTTTGGAGTTATTAAGAAATTCGAGAATATATATGTTTTGTATAGGTAATGTTGGTGGAGAAGAGTTGAGGCGTTTTTTCGTTTTGTGACTACGATACCATTTGGTCACAGATATCTATAGCTGGGTTCAGAAACACATGCTGGATGCTTTCCAATTGCTTAACACATCTTGACACATACGTACACAAAACTAGTTTATTGGTCACATATTATCTGAAATATCTTGTAAGATAATATACAACCAATAAACTGGTTTTGTGTAACATACAAAACGTAACTGGAAAGTACCCACTGTGTGCAACTACTAGACGATAGCCATTGGAGTGAGCGAAATACAAGAATGAGATAAAAAGAGAGGGAGAGTACAAGGTACCAGTTTTATACAAAATTTGTGATATTCAGTGAGACTAAATTAGAATTACAGAAAAAATTACGAGTACACTTTTTACTATAAATATAATTTCTCTTTGTTTTGCTATTAAGTTGTTTTAGGTATTTTAGGTATTCGTATTATTTCGTAATTAGAATATTTTTTTTATTAAATATCAGTTTTGTCTTATATTTTACGAAACTTCTAAAATAAAAGATCTACCGCTTTAAATTTCAAATCTATCGCTTTTTAGTATGCTATCTACTACCTAATTTTTCAACCACCTGGCAACACTATAGCCTGTTAGCAATCTAGTTTAGTATAGACATCTGTGTGTGATGTATACAATTATGAAAAAAACAAGCCTTTCGCTAAAACAAGCAACGAGAAAATGAGACGTATTCTTTTAACTGTATTAGGAACAAATTTAAACATGCAAAATGAAAAAAACATGTTACAAAAAGGGAAATTAAAAAAACTAAAAAATAAATTTAATTCTGTGCTTCAAAATCACACATGTGTGTGTATGTTATTTTATTACACACACGCGCGCGCGCGTATATATATTACTGATATAAAACAAATTTCAAAAGATATACAATACAAATAAAGTAGGATAAAATTAATCAGTGATATTGATATTTTATTCATAAATAATTGTCATTAAAAACAAAGAAAAATAATGGAGAAATGAATTAAACACAAAATTTATTAATATAGCAAATTAAAGATATACATACATACATACATACATACATACATATATATATATATACACATATAAAATAAATTTTTATATAATTTTTCACTATCATTTCAATCATAATAGTCCAAAAAAATAAAACTATCTCGTTACTAACTGCAAAACATGATAATGGCTGTTAAAAAACAATCACTATGTCCTCCTCAAATTAAGATATATTTTTTATTATAAAATAAAAAATGTCTTGAAACTTCATTCCTTTTATGTTTAGTGACTATTGCATACTAAAATATGCAACTATTGCATGTTTTTTGCAATACTATGATCTATATGCTGAGACAAAATAATTTCAAATAATTGATAAATTAATATCAAAATTTAACTTTAGTTTATTAAAATATTTAACTTTTAATATATATCGTTTATCGAGAGCAACACTGTGGATGTTTTTTGCTATATAAAATATAAAAGATGAAAATAACATAATATTTGCATGGAATAATATCAGTAACATTCCTAGCTTTAAAATCTCAAAGTCAAACTAAAATACTAAGTAAAACAAAAAAAGATCAATCTTAATTATATATATATATATATTATTTATATAGATTTTAAATATAGATTTATGGTAATAAATGGGGTTTATGAACAAAACTGTTTTGCAGTATATATGTTGTAAGTTACAAAATCTAAATACTTAAAAGCATATATAAATAAAAATTTTAAAACGAAGATGGTACAAGACCCGCCTGCTCTAATGTGGCACGAATTTTTGGTAACTCGACTTTATATTCACCGCTGTCTAGAAACTCTACGATTTTGATTTGCACAGGCGAATTTATCGTCACCAGTTCCGATACTTTTTGTTGAACAGCAGTCGAATAGTTACCAGCACTGTCAACTGGCGCTAAATCTACAATAAACAATTCATACATATCTCAGTAACAAAGAATCGTCACATATACTAAATAATATAAAACTAAATTTTGGTCTTTTGAAATAAAACTTTATAAAGTATAATATATAGGGTGTCCCGCGTTAAGACGTGGCAAAAGAAAAATATAAGTAGCTCCGTGTGTGCGTCCGTGTACGTGTGCGCTCGTCCATTTTCTTCGCCGGCCACGGCGAGCCGTATGTCCCGCCTGCTGCGTCGCCGCACTCATATGCCCAACTATTTTAATTAATATCTCGAAATTTTACGTGGTTGTTTGAAAAATGACCTCTACAATTTTTGTTCACTTTTATCTGTTTTACTTATATTTTTCTTTTGGCACGTCTTACGCGGGACACCCTGTATATTTTCATATAAACTATCAATTTCTTATAGCGACTGTCACCATGTAAGAAAACCGAGACCATACTCAACGAATACTCACTGATAACTGAACAGATATTTGCCATTGCTGCAGGCCTAATAAAGGTTTCAGGCATCTGTCTTACGTTTTTATGTTCCACTATATCTACATTCCCATAGTCTATGAAGAAAATCTCACATTCCGTTGAGGATCCGTGTGGATCGAGACATAGTGCGCGATACCATGTTCCATCGTACAATGCCAAACATAATTCCTGCTTTCTTGGTATATAGTACTCCGTTTTTTCGCAATATTCTTGTATCTGTGTATAAAATATTACCACATATAATACATAGATAACGATGTAATTACTTGGTCTTATTTTCGTTGTTTTTAAACATATTTACCAATCCAGACATATCGTTAATGACGTGAGTTATTAAATCAAGATCGAAAGGACTCATCATAAATGACAAGTTTTTAATATCTGATAAATGTAATACCAACGCTTCGACCGTATCGCCTACTTTTCCCATAGGAGCAATACTTATGTCATTTATCATATAGCACGTTTTATCTGTAACAGACAAAGAGGTAAGGAACTTGTATTTTATTTTTCGTAAAATAAAGTGAACTCCGTGCATGCGGAATTTTAAATTGTTCAAATTGTGAAACTTTGTGGAAAACTATTCAATGTATAAAATTTTTGACATCACTTTCTCATATTTTTTACGACTAATTACCGTCATAATTATCTTTTTTCCAACTCGGTATCAGTAGCTCCTTTATTTTGTCGTTAACACTTTCTCCGGTGTCAGTTGTCAAGTATACTCCATTCTTGAACGATCCGTTATCATATGTGCATACTAAAGATTCTTCTCTGCCGACCAAGTCGCGCAAGTAAGCATCAACTTCTGCTGACATTGGCACATCGTGAGGAACATCCTTTAAGACTAGCCTTCCTGAACAACTTCGTTTAACTGCCAAATCATCTGATATTTCTTGCAGTTCGTTCACGTTGATATCCGTAAAATTCCCGAAATCGACGTACACGATTGTCGCCGTGTTATCTTGTAGTTTCGTGACCATCGCGCGATATTTATTTCCATCCATATACGGCGCGATTACCATTTGTCCAATGCTTGGAGGCTTAGAAAGATGTGGTGCTATAATCAAACAGATGAAATAATTTGTCATTATTGCTTTATTGTTAACTCATATTACTTAATCGATTATTTCTTACACACCCTTTTGTGAGCAATGTGCAACACGTTGATTAATATCGTTAGTATATTCCACTTCCGATTTGTCCAGAGAATTTGCGAACATAATATATTGATTTCGATAATTGATGAGGCATATCTGAAATAATTGCATTAAAAAGCGATAAAGTTGATTTCAATCTATCACGATATGGATAATTTAAAAAAATGTGAAAAAATATATATTAAATATAATTAAAAATAAATTTTTATCTCTTTTAAATTCTACTATTAAGTTAATATTTGCAAAATGCAATCAAACCTTAGATCCATTCTTTAATTCGGCTAAAGCGGGAATCGACTTTATTATATGTTGCCATGGCTTTATCGTAGCTTCTATGAATTCATCATCTTTCTTTATTTTTATTTTGAAACTACCCTGCTTTATATCATGTTTCTTTACGACTCCGATAAAGTTGTATACTTCATCCGCCTTGAAACATTCAACAGAAAATAAAAATTAGATAATGTTCATGATCGAAGTATAATAATGCATAATTGATCAAACGTAGATGTATGTACTATATATACATAATAAGCTAGTAATCGACGACGTTTATGGTGTGTTGAGTACTTAAATAAATGAAAAGTACTTAAATTTACCTGCATTTTAGCATTGATCACTTCACAGGTTACTCCGTACGTGCAAATATTTAAAAACTCTTTAGGACACGGTAAAGCTCTAATGGCTGGCGAAATTCTTGCTTCGTCCACTACTGCTACACGTAAGTCAGGTAATGACGATGTTACATATCCTCGATACCATACGCCATTCTCAATTTCACCGCAAACCAAATCTCCCACTTTAGGCCTAGAAGAACCCAAATTTACAGTGAGGAATTTATTCTCATCCAAAATTACTCAACTATTTCATAAAAAGGGCACATAAATATAAATAGTGACAAATAAAAAAAAAAACATAAGAAAATTGCAAAATGTACATATACTTACTTGTAGTTTGAAGTAGCTTCTGTCATTTTTTTACATACTTCTGGTAAGTAGTTTATAATCTTGTCCATGTTGTTAGTGAAATCATCTGGGATCAAAGTCGCGGTGTAAATATTTTTTTGCATACACTCGAAGATTTGTATTATACCAGAGATTGTTAGCTCAGGAACTGCATTTTCAGTTAATAAATCAGCGAAAGAGTCTAAAATATTGCACAGTTGAGTAGCCGGCGTTTCCCTAGTATTCGGTGACGATATTTCCTGCGGTGCTTTCACTGTTGAATTATTTGGATTGCTCAACCGTGGTGAATCTTTAATTGCGCATGTAGCTACATTATCTGATAGCTCTTTTATTTCTACTGCCATTGTCTTCTCGGCGTCCATAGATAACATCTTAACAGAAATTTTATCACCGTGAAGTAGATTCTTAGCATTCATGTCTTCAACGCGAATTTTTCTAGCAAATCTCGGAACATTAGTAAGGTTTTGTATATCTCTGATTTCAGTATTTTTTTCTAATATTTCATCCTTTCCAGAATCTATGAAATGAACCCTCAGAGGATTCAAAGATACTATCATAGCCCTGTGCCAAATAGTTTTATACAACACACCATAAACGTCGCCGATTACTGGCTGCACGTTATGAGAATTTTTCGCAACGTCTTGCAACTTCGTTGTTAGATCGTTACGTGCATTCGTATCTTCAACTTTATATACCCAATACTCATTATTATCCAACGGTACAATAATCTCTACATCTTTAAAGTTTGTTTTTGACAAGTAGGTATCTTTTCGAAAATCTAAACCTTCATCCGTAGCAACAATACTTACAGATAGTTTCTGTTCCTGTTTGTTGATGGTGGTGGTAGTTTCTCTTTGGTTACATGATGCTTTTCTATCGTTCTGGGATCCATTCCTATTGTTCTGGAATTTACCTTTTTGATGAGAATAACTTCTACTAACGTTATTAAATTTATCTCTTATATTATCACTCTTATTGATTTCTTTGTCAGGACAAGTCTTGTTTGTAGAATCATTTTTATAACCATGAGTATAATTTTGGCGAGTATGATTGGCTGTTGTCGAAAACTGATCGTTTTTCTTAGTCTGATCAATATTTTCGCTAGCATTATATCTATTAAAATTTTGCGGAATTTTATTGCTTGCTGTTGCATTTACCGCCGGTTGACTTATTATCTTCTCTTTAGACGAATTATTCTTATTATCGAGTTGATTATTATGGCACTTATCAGTAGTCTTAGCATTTTCGTTAGTTTGGTTCGTCCGTTGTACATTTGTGTTCAAATTTAGAACTTTTGCTGGTGTATTAGGACGGCGCAACTTCACATCGCTAAATGTATTAACTGGCACTTGAGTGTTATTTGAACTTGGTTGTTCTGTGACATTTTTAACTTGCTCCAATGGTGGAGTCTCATCCACCAAATCCCTATAAAAGTGTTCTCCCATAACAAGACAATATTTTTAATAAGAATCTATTCAAATAAATAACTATAAACATTTTTAACGTATCACGTCTTGCCTATTTCACTGGGGAAAAGTTTCCATGTTACAAAAGGTCTCTGCATACATACATAATAAATATACACCACATTTGTGTGTGTGTGTGTGTGTGTGTGTACACACACACAGGGTGTCCCATTTTAAAAGATCCACCCTCATAATTCTTCAGCCAAGTGTATTCAGCAAAGATGTTTCAGACAAAAGTTGTCAGGTTCAGAGGGGGACATCTAAAGGTGACTTTGAAGGTCATTCTGAAGGTTATTCGAAAGTCAACTTTGCTTTTTAAATAGAAACATTAATTTTTTTCTTACGGAATTTTATTCTACGTAAAGAAGTTAACAATTTTTGTTTGAAAAAAATTTTTATACAACCTCTATTTTCTAAGATATTTACGAAAATATCTATAAAATTATTGGTTTCAATAATTTTGTACTCGAATTCTATCAACTTTATCGAAAATGGTAAGAGATAAAAATTGTTTATTTTCTTCTCATAGAGCTCCGAGAATTTTTTATAAACTTTTTAATACTTCAAGAAAATGCAGTACTAAGAAGTTAACTAAAAAATTCTGAAAAAATTTTTAAAGCTCTATAAGAAGAAAATGGATAATTTTTATCTCTTGCTATTTTTCGCTAAAGTTGGTAGAATTCAAGTAAAAAATTATTAAATCCAATAATTTTGTAGATATTTCCGTAAATACCTTAGAAAAAAATTTATTGTATAAAAAAATTTTTTCAAACAAAAATTGTTAGTTTCTTTACGTAGAATAAAATTTCGTAAGAAAAAATAAATGTTTCTATTTAAAAAGCAAAGTTGATTTTCGAATAACTTTCAGAATGACCAAGGTTAAAGTCAAGGTCATCTTCAGATATCCCCCTCTGAACCCGACTTTTGTCTGAAACATCTTTGCTGAATATACTTAGCTGAAGAATTATGAGGGTGGATCTTTTACAATGGGACACCCTGTATGTATGTATGTATGATATATATATATATATATATATATATATATATATATGTGTGTGTGTGTGTGTAACATTAAAATTAGAATATTCTTACGGTATGCGTTCGCATTCAATTTGATGTCGTGGCCAGTGAGTTACTTGACAGGCCTTGCCGCAATAATAAGTATAACACTTCTCGCAATGTTTTGTTGTTTGGGCAGTACAAACAATGCATCTTTGCAAGTCTTTTTTAAATTTATCATCAGCATATTCATAAAGTCCCTGCAAAAGTAAATAATATAAATTTTTTAAAAATTTTTTGTTCTTCCCTAACCAATAATAAATTATTCAGTTGAATTGCTAATTATGCTAAATAATGGAAGCAGTTATAAACAAAGTACTTTTTTGTTTTTCATTATTTTATTAAAATATCTATAGTTTCAATAACTAATAAGGAAGGAACAAACTGAAAAAATGGTAATAAAAAAGAAAAATTTTGGTTATTAACATATACAGATATTGTTTTGCTAACAAAAAAGAAAAAAACTGAAAATAATAATGTTAAGATTTAGGAAATGCATGAACAAGATTGGTTTTGAGTTCAGAAAAATTGAAGTTGATGATATTTGATAAGGAAAGAGGAAGAACAAAGAAAAAGAAATAAAAGAAGTAAAAGAAATAAAATATCTAGGATATATAATACAAAAAATGAAGGAATGGAGAAACATATAATGGAAAGAATAGGAAAAATTACTATTATAATCAAGAAGAATGAAGTATAGAGGAAAGCTTATTTAAAGATAATTATGGGAGAAGAATGAAGATGTTCAATGTGATGGGAAATAGCACTATGTGGAGCAGAAGCGTGAGAGTGGCAAAACGAAAATAAGTTACAGGATAAATAATGTAAAATGGATACTGGGATTGGATAGAAAATTACCGAATTATATTGTAAAATAGGAGACAAAGAGTGAAAGCTGTAAGAAGAGCAAATAAATATAAAGAAATGGCACAGAAAGTGAAAAGAAAATAGTCATGGAATACATGAGGAAGATAAAAAAAATTAAGAGAGTAAATATGGGAAAAAAGAGAAACTATAAAGAGAGCAAGGATTACTAAAGAAATAAAAAGAGGAAGAGGAACCGAAGAAGATAGCACATGAGATTATAGAAAAAATAAAGAGAAAGGAAAAAGGAGAATAGATAAATCCCTAAATATAACAACAGTTACAAAAACATAATAATGGAAGTTATGTCGAAATATTTATTGAGGAAAAAAAGGACAGGAACCTAATACACTGATAGTAAGATGTAGATGTGAGAATGGAATGAGAGGAAATCAATACTGGGCAAACAAAAAGAAGAGGAAGTGTAGAATATATGGAGAAAGGATGAAAGATTTGAAATATGATAGAAGAACGTAAACAAAACAAGAAAAAAAAGATAGAAAAGGACTGAAAATAATTAAAAAAAAAAATGAAGCTGGTCCAAGAAAGAGTGGAAAGAGGAAGAGAAGAATGGAATACAGATACAGAACAAAAGAAAAGAGAAAGAAGCATTGTGAACGTAAAAACATCCTGGAAAAACTATCCACAGTTAAAAAGCATGAATTAAGAATAAAAAGAATAAATAATAATAATAATAAACAATAACAATAAATAAGAATATTTTCAATAACTCATACATTTAGAACAAAATATTTATAAATTTTTATATTAATTTTTCATTATAAACATGACATACGTTCTTTCGTAATTCATAGACTTGTGTAATATAATCTTCACATCTAGGATCTGGCTCTGGAATCTCATACATTGAATAACCACGTCCTAGTGAAACATGTCTTTTGCCATCAGCTGTGACAGTCAATAAACCTCTGAAATATTAAGTTATGTAAAATGCAGTAAGTACAGAGTCTTTTAATAATTGTATTTAAATAAAAACCTTGTCCATAATTTATTTGTACTCATGTAAGGATCGTCAATTTCATATGGGCTAGATATCATAGATGAAGGGAAAGATTGTAAATTTTCATGATGTGGTACTATCATATCTGGCACTGCAATACGTTTGCGAATTGCATAGCCACGACCTACACCCTGTGATGTACTACAATAAAAAAAAAAATACATATATATATATGAACATTTTGTAGTAAGCATTCAAAAAAATGATATATTAAATATACAAAATATTTCCCAGATTTTAATAGCCAAAATATAAAAAAAGAAATCATAGTATATAAGACAGATTTTAAAGTTGCTTTAGTTATAACTATTACTTTAAAAAGAGTTCAATAATAATAGAAATAATATTTACTTCTGTTTCACATTCTGAATAAGCACTGGTTTTGTATGCTGAATATATGCTTTCTCTTCAATTTTTATATCTGAATGTTCAAATTCTCCATTTACAGCTCTTTCTCTTGCAAGTGCAACTTTCAAATATAATGGTTTTTTATTGTTGAGTTCTCTTATAGCAAGTTCAGCCTCACGATATGACCCATATGTAATATAAGTCCATGTAGCGTTAGGACAATAGAACATCCCAGTAATTTTACCATATGGACTAAAAACTTGTCTGATAGCATCCTTAAATATTTTTATAAATTTATATACATTTTTTTTTTTTACTAAGAAAAATATATATATCTTATTCAAATAATACATAATATGTTAATTTTTATTATCATTAAAAACATCTATCGCACAAAGTTTACAGCAACACTATAAAAATAACAGTTACAAAACTCTTCTTTCGTATAATTAATCAGCTCAAACATACCTCCTTTAACTCTTGTGGTAAATTATCCACATATATTCTGTATTCTGTATTCATCCTGTTTTGTGAAAAAGTAAAATATTAGAGGTTAAAGAGGTATAGTTCAAAATATTAAAACTGTATATAAGATAAACTAAATATATTATACAAATATATGTTGAAACAATAGTTAAAATGACAATATAATTAAATATAATATAGAAATGAAGTTATATCTAACACAAAGAAAATAGTCCTACATAATAGATCAAATCGTAAGTACCGCGAGCGCGCAACAAACTTAACTGACTAATGCGTTGCTATTTTATACTCACTTATCAAAAGCCGGTGTCTGTTCCGCTTCCAAATAGTCACTACCATCAAAGGTCGCCATCTCTTCTATGCTGATTTACTTTTTATCTATTTGTCAGAAGATACGAAAAAGAAAGATTCACAAAGGATGAGTTCTTTGATCAATCTCTACACACTGTTCCAATAATGCTGCAAAGACCAACAAGCGAATAACACGTGGCTGATACTCTACGTATTACGCAGAAAGAATACAAGCCACATAGAGGAATACAAAGAACGCAGAAAACTCATTGACTTACAAAAGCCGATATTCTTTAGCGTAGCTTGAAATAAATTTAACGAATTTATGTCGCAAACAGGTAAGAGAAATAAACGAGTCAAGGCAGTTTATGGAAACCGTAATATGATCCATCGTACGTGACTGCGTAACAAAGAACGAGTTGAATAGTCCCGCACAATGGCCAGAGATCAGAGGAAATTTACTTTCTTAGAAAAAAATCCTCGAAATCCGATGGCTCAAAATAAACAAGACAATTTGCGAAAAACGAGCTTGCAAAAATATAATTACTTACGTGATAAAAATAACGCAAGTTTATTCACGCATACTCCACAAGTTGACCCACAGATGGATCTCACAGGAGAAATGACGAGCGCAATGCTGTTCTACGATTTTAAATCTGCGACATCACAAAAGTTGCGCGCGCTGGGATGAGTTCTAAAATTCAACTCTGGTTACCGTAGTTCTATAGGCCGCGTTCCGTTTCACGCATAATGTATATAGGCTTGGTTTACATCGTGCACTTGATACGCGTACTAAATAGTAACTTTCTATTAGATAATCTTAATATCGACAATGCATATCAACGGCGATGCATTCAATCAATACAATACGTTTTCTTGATGAGTATTATATCAGCTTAATATATCATTGTTTATATATATCGTCGATATTAAAATTATCTAATAGAAAGTTACTATTTAGTACCCAGTTGCTTTCCAATTGCTTAACACATCTTGACACATATGTACACAGAAATGCACAAAGGCCAATATTCATAGTCAAATCTTATTTCAAGACTGTCTTAAGTAATGTCTTAAGATGCGAATACGGCTCTGTGATTGGTTCATAACATCTTAAGACAGTACTTAACATGATCTTAAATATAAGATCTGACTATGAATACCGGCCAAAGTGTAACGTTGTGCACGATTCAATTGAAACAAAGTGTGTACTAATGTGTATGTATGTCGGATAAAGTTAGGATTATTTTTCAACTATGCTTATATTTTGGTATTTTTTAATAATAAATAATAAAATCTAAATAATAAAAAAGATATTATTTACTTCACGTTGCAAATGCCAGTTTCTTTTCAAGTCGCTACGCTTATTAACTTTAATTTTCACTAGAAAACACTAGTTTACACAGCCGACTAGTAGCCCTCGAGCTGAATACGGATGTGCAGTGTTGTGTCGACGATTACGACAATTGGAATGCAACTTGTGTCGCCGTGTGCATGAAAGTGTCTAGGGATATTGCAATTGGAAAGCACCCACAAGTATCATCCTATCTTTGTTACTTACTAAATGTAGAACAAAGATAGAATGATGTTGGTGTCGACTTGTGTCTTTTGTTGGAAAGTAACCACTGTGTACACACTACTAGACGATAGCCGTTGGAGTGAGCGAAATACAAGAGTGAGATAAAAAGAGAGGGAGAGTACTTGAGTGAGATTGCCATTACATGAAGCGCGGAAGACAAAATCTTATTAGATTTCCGCATTCCGCGAATTGAATCATTTCTTCCCGTATGTTGAAAAAGCGGAAAAGCGGATGGCCCAAAACTTTTCTCTATTGTCTTTTCATCCAAGGTACCAAGATATAAATTCAAAAAAAATATCAGGTCCAAACGTGTTTAAACACATCTTAATGTAACGGCGGTTAGGTTGAACAATTTGTGATAACTTGTGACAATGGATTTTTCCGCGCTTGTTCCGCGACTTTATTTCTTCTTATATTACATGGAGCACAATTTGCGCGGAAAAGCGGAACGGTTTGGTGACAAATAAACATCTGTATCATTTTTTAAAATTGTATTAACTTAATTTACTGCAATTTTTACTAATATGTTTATCTTTTCAGCTTATCTGCTGAATACAAGCATTATAATTAATAAATACCATTAAAAATTAATATTTTATAATTCCCCATACCGCTTTTCCATTCAAAATATGTCTCATGTAATATAAGGCAATTAAAACAGACGCGGGACACGTAGCGGATCTAGTAAGATATTTTCTTCCGCGTTTCCGCGCTTCATGTAATGGCTCTGAGTTCTCCTCATTGGACTATCGGCTACGTTCCGACATCCAACTTCGACATCCGGCGTATTGTGTTCTAGGGCCCCTATTCTTGAAATTTTTGCGTATATGTAATTTTCATTGCGCAGCTATTTTATGGTATGATTAAACCTGCGCAGTAAAACTTACGTATATGCAACTATTTCAAGAATAAGGGCCCAGATCTTAATCCTCTGAGTACCAATGGCTTGGTTTATATCGTGCACTTGATACGCGTACTAAATAGTAACTTTCTATTAGATAATCTTAATATCAATGATATATATAAATAACGGTATATTAAGCTAATATAATACTCATCAACAAGCGTATTATATTGATTGAATGCGTCGCCGTTGATATGCATTGTCGATATTAAGATTATCTAATAGAAAGTTACTATTTAGTACGCGAATCAAGTGCACGATGTAAACCAAGCCATTGTAGAACTGCCATCATAAACCAACCTTTATTCTTACTTCTTTTGCTTATCGCCATTGTAGAATGAGCTTTAAACTGTAGCTGATGGTTCTCTCTAGTATGTATAGAGCTCACTAATGAGGATAGATCATCGGTGTATAAACACACGACAGCAACTTCCTTTCTTTTACAATAAAATCTCAAGTCTTATTTGTATGCTGATCGAATACGTAAGAAGAAGAAGGATACTTCCGCGGATCACACGCGCGCGACGATGACGACGACGATTGCTGTCCGTTCCGTCTGGCAAACGCGTGTCCTTGAAATTAGACATCACACCGCGGCATTTCCGCGCGCGAAAGTGCAGACCCCACACACACACATGTGTATACGTGTGCGCGTGCGCACACATACACAGAAGAAATACATACATACATATGCATAAACACGCGCGGGCGCGCGAGGCAATAATATTAGAATGAAAATTCTCGCCAAGTTACATCGGGCAAAAAAGTGCGGCGCTCAGGAAACGGCGGTGCGTGATTGGTTGACGCGCAGCGACTGGCCTGTTATTTAGCGATGTGTCATGTGACCCTTTCCTATTTATGCAAACATCACCGATACTTGGCCTCACGGTCTCGTGGCAAAACAATAACAAACAACACACACGTCGCTCCGCGCACGTCGTCCCTCGCAATTCTCGCCATCCGTGATAGTATTTTGTAGTGTCGCGCATGCGACAAGTCGCAGGAGGATCGCGCTTGATCTCCCCGGGAGTCGTCGTGAATCTCGTCGTCGTCGTAGGACAGAGTGAATCGTTGCAGGTCGTCGAGTCGACGCGGCCGCGGCAAAAAGTGAAACCCAATCTGCTGATCGCAATCGCCGAGTCGCGCGTGAGACGAGACAAGACGGGACGAGCCGAATGGAACAATGTTGTCAGTTGTGGAAAATGCCCGTTGACGAGAGTCAGGGTCTCGCGGTGCGTGCGTGTGTGCAAAACGCGTGTTAGACCAATATGTGATTCGATACTGTTCTGCGAATAAAAGATCCGTGCGAAGAAGCGACACACGAGAGGAGACCCGAAAGGGACGAACTATCCAGAAGAGAAGAGGAGGAGGAGGAAAAGGAAGAGCGAAGCAAAACTAGTCGGGCTAGAACGCGCAGAACCATTGGACGAGCACTTCGTTCGTCCGTGTGTTTCCTCGTCGGCGGCTGCGAGGTCGCAGATTTGCAGTGAATCGATCGAGGCTCGTGCCTCGAGATAGGTGTAAAACCTCGTGCGTGATAGACCACCCGCGTGCATTTCATCATCCCCTGCGTACGTATGTACGATTTTTTCTCTTTTTCTCTCTGTCTTTCTCTCTCTCTCTCTCTCTCTCTCTCTCTCCCACTCTTCTCCGCGATCGAGCCGTCAGATTCGCGCGAATTTTCACGCAGCAATAATAAACAACGCGCGTGGCGGCAGTTGCGTGTGGCGGGATAGAGATCGGGTTTTGGAATCGACAAGATCGCGCGGACACAAAACCACACGCATACACATATATACACGCACGCAGGCAGCGCGGAATCGTTCGTCCTGCGCGCACATTGGGCTGTTTTTTTCGTGTGGTGAACTTTCACGCGTATATATATATATACACCTCGCTTCTTATAGAGACAAGTTGGCTTAGCCTAGCGCGTGCTGGATTGTCACGATCTCTGTACGAAGTGTTTCCTCTAATGGATGACCCCAAGTACAGCGGCTTCTCGCTGGACAGGTTCAACACCATGGATGGCATAGTGAAGCAGGAACCTGTCCAGGAAATGGTTACAGCGTCGGCGTCCGTGCCTATCCCTGGCGGGCACAGAGGCACACGCGGAGTGTACGATCAGTTCTCACCCTCGCCTCTGGCAGCTACCTCTGCATGGACTATAAGAGCTGGAGACATGGAGTCGCCTTTCAAAATAGATCCTGATCAGCTGGACATCTCCTTCAGGATGGACGACGATGATATATTTCAGGTGGACAAGGCTGAGCTCATCCAAGGTCCTACCCTGGCTGAATTGAATGCCAATGATGACACTCTATTGGGAGACTTGAATTTCGATGATCTGCTGCTACCTGAAGAGAGGGTACAACCAATCAAGATTGAAACAAATGCCACTCCATGTACTGGCTCTCTGTTCAGTAGCAGCGATGTAGGATTTGCACCCAGTAGTTTCCCTCAGTCTGGATTAACTTTCCGTAGTTGTCCCACGTATACAAATACATATGGATTTAACCTAAATAGAGGTTCCAACGTTGCGGACAATGTAGAGGCTGTTAGTCCTACTGCATTTCCTAGTCCAGGAACAAGTAATGTTGCAGGTATATTTACATATATTACGTATATACATATTTTTTTTACTTAATAATAACACTAAGTGCAATATTATTCTGGATGCATAATGATGAATCAAGAGTGTTGAATACAATAATAATAATAATGATATATTTGAAAATGTAAAACTTGATCTTGATCTACAAGTTCATTGATTATCTAAGAAAATATCGATCGTTTATTCTGTATAAATAATATATATATATATATATATATATATATATATATATATATATATATAATTGTATATAATAACGTACATAACTATATAATTATATATAATAACGAGTGTTAACTGCAAGTCACAATTTACATCATCAGGTAGTTCAACAGCGAGTTCATCCACTTCCCCGCATCCCGCAATGCGACCTACTGGAACGTCCACTCTACATGAGTTACTCTTGAGAAGATGTGAAAATCCGTTCACTAATCCAATATCCACTCAGGCGGATATCTCCACGGTAGGCGGGCAGTCCAAAGTTTCAAGACTCTCTATGTCTGCGCCCACGCAGACAATGGCTTTGGATCAAATTTGGGCTCACAGAGAACCACGACAACATCTTTTGAGCACCAGCAGCCTGGTAGAGGCAGGCTCGACGAGTAGCTTGAGTACAGGAGGCGCGCTGAGTCCAGATCCACTTGGTCATCTTGACCCATTCACTCAAGATGAAGACTATGAAGACAGTGATGATGATAGCGATCATTATGATGATTACAGCAGCGATAATGGTATTTATATATTTTAATGTCACACACACACACACACACACACACACACGTATGTATGTATATAAAATGTGTATCTATATATCTTTAGAGAAAAAGATTCAAATATTCTTTCTTTGAATTCCAACTAAGACATGTAGTAAGGAAGTAATTTACTTGCTTTACCTTGTCTTTGCATATATCAAATGAAATTGGAGTTAAATTACAGCTTTACAATTACTGTAATAACTTTTATGCAACTAAAATTATTAAATCATTGTAGTAATAGTCATATGTAATATGATAAATGATTGCTCATTTATCAGATTCAGGTGGAAGTGACGGTGAAGAACAAAGTAACAACAGAATGAGTACTGCAGAATTGGGAAGAGATAGTAGTAGGCATAGTAAGAAAGAGAGATTTTTCTGGCAGTATAACGTTCAAGCAAAGGGACCAAAGGGACAACGACTGATTGCTAGAGCACGTTTAGAAGATCCGCATGTCTTGAACGAAGCAACTGATCCGGTATTTAGTCCACATTGTGCTCTCAGAGGAATTAAACATAGTGGAAAAGCACGAAAAGGCGATGGAAACGATCTTACGCCAAATCCTCGCAAGCTTCATAACATTGGGAGGGAGTTGGACAAGCTCACGCGTATTATAAATGACATGACGCCTGTTTCAGAATTACCATTCTTAGCAAGACCGAAAACACGTAAAGAAAAGAATAAATTAGCTTCGCGGGCGTGTCGCTTAAAGAAAAAGGCTCAACATGAAGCTAATAAGATTAAGTTGCACGGACTCGAACAAGAGCACAGTTGAGTAGACATTTTCGCTTGTATTTTATTCTTTTTAACTTTTTCGCTATTGGTGTACTGAATGCAGAGTTCTATCGCTGTACGTTCAGCTTTACCGTTAAAGACCATAACGAAAAAGTTAACAGAATATTTCATACACATGCGGTCATATTAAGAAAATGGAGTGATTTTGTGTTTTAGAACGTCTTATTCAAGGTATATCACAAGCTAAAAACATGCTTTCCGTAAAAGCAACCGAACCTCTTAACGCTGAGAATCAGGAAGAGCTTACACGACAAATAGAGAAATGTTGCAAGTTGGCTACTAGTAAGTATACTTCAACTTTGTTTATAAAATATTTTTGCAAAGTTCAATATTTAAAATAATATATCTGAGTATATTTATTACACAAAAACATGGATGGCATATGTGGAAAAACACATAACATATAGTGGTATAGTAAAGAAAAATAGTACTGTGCCCTTTCTCATATAACAAAGATATTCAAACTAACAAGTAATTTTGTTTGAAGTACTCTAACCTACATATAAGATACGTATAAATATACAAGATTATAGATTTTTTTCTGATTATGTAAAACTCTATGCGTATAAATATACAAATATTACTGATCGTAAGATAAATAAATACGTGAATTTTGGTTACAGAGATACGAATAGCAAGCCATTCAACAGAATTTGTGAACAGGGTATTGGACAAAGTTAGAGGTGGTGTCCATGATGGTGGACTCGAAGATATTTAATTTTACAGAGACCTTTTTTCTTTATGAGCATGTATATAATAATGAAAAAAATGTGTATATGGATACATACATAGGGTAATACTTCATCTGTAAGTTTATCGTTATCTGAGTGCTGACCTATAGTTAAGTTAATCTTAACTTATTGGTTAATGTATAATTAACGGATATCCTTGCGTGCGTTATTACAGAAGAAACGAAACCTTGATTTATGCATTCATTGAATTGCATCCACATATCGTCAAGTGTTTTTCTCCTTTCTTTTAATAAAATTGTCCGCATTTTTTATACTGTACATTGGTAAATAGGCATAACAATTTTCATACATCACGACAGCTTTTAATAATGTTTTTCTTTATATGATTATTAAGTTTTTTTTTCTTTTTATATATCTTCTGTAGCCTATATCAGTTACACGAATGTATATTTCTTATACTTTTTGAAGAATTTAATATGATTACGCGTTGTTATGAAAGTGCAAGAAAAGTGTCACGTAACGATTATAACGGACTACTGAATGTTATCGATATCTATTATTGATTAATAATGGACACACATTTTGATTTTAACTAATAAAAGCACATCAACGAAGTTTTCTCTTCCCAAGAACGATATGCGCAAATATCAAGTGAATGCGGTTACATTGCATTTTGTCTCGTGATTCTTTACTACACATTCATTGATTTTTGACAAAGATCAAGGTTTCGAAATTACTGATTATATGCGATAATATCAATTCAGATTGATGTTTCTTTTTCTTTTTAATATTCCGACGATTACGTAGTTTTAAACTGTAATAGTAGTAAAAACGAAAATCTAGAAATGTGCATAGTTGCACCTAGAGACGAGCTTTGAATCATGTAGTTGTTTGCTGTTTGCTGACTCGATCTACCTCAGAACGAAACGCTGTACCTACTTATATATATTCGAATTAAGATAACGAACGGAAAGATTGCGTTCGTGGCGTGTCGATTGTTACTGCTTTAGAGAATTTTAGACGGGTGGACGAAGGTAGCTATGCAATTTCAGATAGCATGAAATATCTGGAAATCATCCTGGATGTTTAGAACGTCCTAGAAAATTTAAAACGTTCTGAATATAGTCTGGATGATTTTGAAATATCTTATGTTATCTCGAACGTTACATCTGCATATCGTCCGTATATTTAAAACGATCATAAGCCACGGCTAAGTAATTATATTTTGCTAATTACTCTAATATATAAATATATATATATATACATATATATTTTAAATATACAAAATATTAATCCACATATTATATTCGTACTAATATTTTTTTAATCGATTTTTGTATGTAATGTTGCATCGAGCGCAGGTTATAGTTGCTGCAGAGGAAGTGAAGATAGTCATGTAATTATATGTAAAAAAATGTATATTATATATATATATATATTATATGTATATGCAAGGCATCTGAATTTAAATGTCCGACCGTTCGTGTACAGGTAGATTAAGTCAAACTGAGCACAAAAGTCCTCTACTATTTTGCAAACAACCACGTAAAATTTTGAGTTAGTAATAAAAAAAATTGACGAATAATCGCGCAAGATACACACATGATGTGACAGTAAGTCGATTACAAGTACGATTGCAAGTACGATTGCATTACACAATTTGCACTTGTATGTTAGGTCGAACTGAATAAAAAAATCCTGATTGTTTACAAAGTGATAAAAGAATTTTGTGTTCAATTTGATCTAATCTATCTATACACAAGCAGTCGGATATTTAAATTCAGATATTTTGTACATTGGTGTGTGTATATATGTATATGTATATATGTGTATATATATATATATATATATATATATATATATATATATATAAACATACAGATATCGTATAAAAATCCTTATCAAATCGTTATGCAGTCTAATTTATTGTTATGCGGTATAAACTACAAGTTTGATTTACCGTAACATTTGGCATAGTCAACGATGTAGTAGCTGTGTTAGCACAAAACGTCGTCATTCCGATATCGTAATCACGAGTGAGCAGTGAAGTGTTGCGTATAATCAGAATTATTTCTCCAAGTATGTAATATCATACATTTGTACGAACTGCCGCATTATTATTTCGTCGACGATAACTTTGGTATTTTTGCGGTGACACGTGCGTTCGCTCGCTCGTACGCTTGGCGTTTGGATTGCGAATCGTCATTTTGCTTGGATAATCCACGCTTTCCTTTCACACGGTTGCCTATGTTGTTGAGTGTAGAACAACCGCTGCAGAAGTCGAAGCTTGCGCGCGAACGCATTCCCAAATTGATAGTGCTATAGTCGAATTGAAAACAGCAACGTCAACGTGATAAGTGATTATTTCGTCAGAATGTAAGACCGATTGAATTGTCATTTTTATTCTAATAAAAAAGAAACAGAATAGCGCATAAGGCTTTTAGACATACGATCTGAAAGTTAAAGTGAACCAGCGCGAGATGTGTACTTGCGATAAACTGCCCCGATAAACGGCAGTATAAAAGACTTTACAATGTACGGAAGTTATGACACGTTTTGATTCAGCTCGGATCTCGTCTTCGATGTTTACTGATAAGGATACAAGACGCGCGGTCACGAGCATGAATCTTCGTTCTTGGAGAGTCCAAAGAAAAGATTGAAATTGTAATGTACACTTCGCCGAAGATAGGAAGTAATAATTCGTTGCGTTTCACACGGTGAACTATCGTCGGAATCCCGGGGTTTCGTTAATCATGACAGGACAATTGGATGAAGGTTTGACGAGTTTATCAGTTGTTAAAAGTTGTTATCCATCTGTGATAAGTTGACATGGTTCTCGTCGTGACGCTGTGGGAAGAACAAAGAAGACAACATACCCACAAGGATTCCGACGTATAATTTTATAACATCGAATTAGACGTGAACGGCACGAGAAGCCGCTAGGAACGAAAACGCTTCTAAACTGCGATGTTGTATAGTTCCGTAATGATCGGAAAATAAACCAAATCCACAAGTACATGAACCATTGTTCGTTCTTAATTTCACAGGAGAGATTGAAATTGTGCTGTATCAATGGAATATCAGTGTCACTGAATAATACCATGTCATTTTTGTTAAAATAGTGATTTTTGTGTCTAAGTAGCATTTTATTGATGTACGATGGGTTGCAAACAATTTAGTAATTGAGTTAGAAGTTAAATTGAAGAATAAAGTTAGAAGTTTATCAAATTGTCAAAATTGAGAATAATTACTCTGATAAAAAGAAATATGGACTTGTCCAATAATTATATTATTAATTATATTAATTTTGCGTAATTCAGTAATGATTTGTTACATATATTCGACAGATAATGAGCTTCCAATTTCATTATGTCTAAACCGTCTTGTTCACTGTATAAGCCGTGTCGACTCAAGAACAAAAAGGAGAAATACGTGAACGGCGAAAATGGATTTCTTTTGGATGAGTTTAGATATCGTGTTTATATTCAGCAACCTCGAAAACCTTAGAACAATCATTTTTATAAAAATCCAATTATTCTTCCAACTTTTGATCCGCCATATTGGATCTACCATTTTGAATTTTGAGATTCTGATATTATATTCGGATATTATATTCGGATTTAGAGACCTCAAAAACTATAAGATACCAAACTTTATATGTTATTTCATGGATTTTTGTATAAGGAATTTATGTATATTTATATGTATATAAATTGTATATATAAATTTCTTATATAATGAAGATATATGTATATATAGTAGCCCGATTATCTTTGTCTGTGCAAAGATGAACGAAGATACCGCATTGTACTGAAAATCATTAGTCATCAGTCATCCAATCGATCGCGCTCATTCAATCAGTGTGATTCAGTGTGACGTTACGTTGCTCGATTTCCGCATACTTTCCTCAACACTGATGCATAAAGCGATATTAGATATTGCGCATACTTTGCATTCCGAGAATGTTTTTTTCCAATTTTTTGCATGAAGCTAAATCGTTCGAACCTGCGATCATGTACGTTTACAGAAAATTTATAGATATAAAATATTCTTTTCTTGGTTATCACATAATAATTTAATTATCACGAATAACCTTGAAAAAAAGAATGTAGATTTTCTAGAGAAAGATATTATTGAGGCTGACAGTGTTCTCCACAAAAGTAAATTATATTATTATAAATTATTTTTGCAGGAATAATCTATAAGAATACAAATTGGCCCTATTTTTCGCCCTATTAATTTTCTGTACAAGTAATACGTTTCTTTGGAAAATCCGCTTCTTTTTTTAAAAGATCAATCATTCATGATAATTAAATAATTATTATGATAATTAAAAAGAAAACAGTGTGAGCTTTGTAACATCAAAAATTCATAATAGTAAATATACAGCACCTTATCTACACGAATATAAGTTACGTAGTTCACGTTCCACAAGTACAGATGGCGTCTCGCGTGCTGAACGCGTTACATGCGCAACATGCCTGCCATCTTAACAGTGCTACACCAGATACATGTTGAACGCGGCTTTAATGAGATAACAAGATTAAAAGAAAGAAAAAGTGTTTCTATGCTTTTTGTAAGATATTTTCCAAAATTGCCTAATTTGATCTGGCATCTTCCACAACTTTGTTGAATTCACTATTAGTTATGCGCGTGCGCAAAAAAGCTTGTTTAGCGCCACTGTATCCAGGAACCCAGCAGCGAGCCACATCCGGGTGAGCTATATCCGGAGAAACTTGCAGTGAAAGAGATGAGGTCTATTCGTTTTCAAAGAACTCCTGAACTAGTGCAATAATTTAGAGTAAAACAAGTATACTTTCTTTCACTTTAACTCATTGCACACTAGTGCGCACTGATTCCAAAGTTCTTCGAAAACTAATCGACCTATCGTATTTGTTTTCGTGCGTAAGCAGCGAAGCGCAAGCACTGTCGCATGACGATTCCGCACGGGACGAATGGACGTTTGTATGCTGCAGTTATGCGCTTCCATTGTGAAAACATAAGTGTTTTATGGTGATAATATGTCAAAACCAAACATAAGGAAGATAACGGCTGACCCTACGAAATGTAATACAGACTCTCGACGGCCGAGTGTGTTTGAGAGGTTGGGCACCAAACCAGCAACCGCCGCCACAGCCGCAGCCCCTCAGAATACATCGGATTATTGCAGAAACTGGGCGCTCAACGGCAGTTGTTCGTATGGAAAGAGTTGCAAGTGAGTATGTGCCATGTGAACCTGGCATGACGTTTCAAAATTTTATTTTAAAAAATCAATATGTGTGTGTGCACGCGCGCACGTGCGTGTGTGTGTGTATACTTTTGATGGTTCTATATAGTTTCTCATGAAAATTCAGAAAAGTTCATGTAGATGTTTCCGAAACAATTTTCAATTTTGCTAATTTTGTGATTTGCAAATGTACCAACTTTACATCACAGCAGGCAAAATGTACACATACACTATAGAATTTTACCAGTTGATCATTAAGATACTTGATATTTGTCGTACAGAGTGCTCAAAAACTTGACATTAAACTTGTCTTTTTGGTTGAACTAGATTTTGTTTTTAAGGTGAAACAAGTGTACATGTAAATTAGTGTTGAAGCATAAAAAATCCAAAGTTTCAGTATAGTATGAGTTCAACAGATCTCATTTGTTTAAAATAAAGACCGTAACTGAGAAAAATTTTAATAAAACATATAATTGTTTTGATAAACAAAGTTATATTAAATAGGAGATAAGAATTATCAGAAAATTAGTTTTATGTTATTATGTTGTAATTCTAGTAATAAAAGTGAAAGTTTTGTATTTGTTCTACTTATTGTGAAGTATTGAGCCAAAATAACTTCTTATTTCTTTGTTTATTAGATACGCAAATACACACACATTGATAAGCCCATCCAAACGTGCTAAGAAGGATAATGCGATCGCAAGTACAGCTGGGGTAAATACACGAGATAATAAAAGTAGAAGTATATCATAAATGACTGAATAAGAAGTATATATTCAATATAATTCAATATAATTGAATCATATATTCAATATAATTGAATTGGAAAAATAGACACTAAAAAAGGACAAAATAGCCAAAATGTAGGTGATGTGCAATAATTTAATAATATCTATTTACAAGAAACATTTTGACTATGTGATGCGGTTGTCCCAATTTTTCTTACGCAGCTGATGAACATAGAGGTGTTAATGATGGAGATTTTGTTGGAGCACAACTTTGATAATTGTAAATTAGCGAGAATTTTCCTGCATTTTTATTATCTTTTAATATTTTACGACAATTATTTAAATTGAAGAGGACTGCATCACACGGTCAAAACGTTTCTTTATCGAAAAATAGACTTTGTTAAATTATTGCGCATAACACCTGTATTTTGGCTCTTTTGTCCTTTTTTAGTGTTTCAATTTTATTTAAATTTAGAACCGATGTAACTTCTTATTGTTGTTTAACTTTGAATTTTTTGAAAAATAGAATTGTATTCTCAATGTCTTCCACATTACAGCTTATTGAAGATCCTTTCAAACGGCTTACATCGAAGATCGTGAAGAAGACATCGCATAGTCCGGACTTAAACATAGAAGAGTGGAATCAGACGGATCTCGAATACGAGGACGAAAAAGTGTTGGAAAGACGGCGGCAACTGTTGCAACGAGAACTGGAGCTACAAATGAAGAAGGATAAGGAAGTACATGGCAAGGATAAAGTGAGACAAAAAAAGAAAGCAATGAGCACGTCCTCCAGTTCGCGCACCTCGAGTACATCCAGCAGTAGCAGTAGCTCCAGCAGCGAAGACTCGTCCTCTACCTCGACGTCGGACTCGCGAAAGAAGGTGAAGAAAATCAAAACGAAGCGACATCACAGCGTTTCCACCGACTACGACGAGGATAAGGAGAAAAAAAGAAAGTAAGTGCTATGTTCAAGCGTTTTATATATGTGATACAATAATATATCTAATTACAGTGACAAACTGTTTATCTTTTTGTGATTTATTCCATATTTCAATATTTCTTTACATAATCCAACACTTAACAGTACATGTTTGTGCAAATTTGCAGATTAAAGCTTAAAAGACTGGGCGCGAAGAACGACAAAGCCGTGAGCAAGAAAAAACGCAAGCTCGAAAGCAATTCCACGAAGAAGGATCTCGCTGCGCGGTCGATCAAGAAATATGGCTCGTCTTCTTCCGTATCCAGGAAGCATTCCACCTCACTGCGCGCCAGATCACCCGCGATGCAACAAGGACCTGCAAGTGGGGTCGCGTCCACGACGACTGTAGTGTTGGGCTCGTCAGTGTCCGTAGCGCACCATGCGTCATCCTCGTCGTCCAATAAGAATCGAGAGAGGAACCGAAGCGAGTCACCCAAGGCGTTGAAGAACACCAGGGAGATGGATAAAGAGGACAGCAACAGACACTACAAGAAGGTGCGCGACGTGGACGAGTGCTTGTCCAAGGACACGACGGCTAAGTGTAAGTCTTTCGACAAAGTGACCAAGGAACAGGAAAAAGATAAGAGTCGTGCGATTGACGACAAGATCAAATCGGACGACAGTCGGCTGAGATCTAAATGCAAAGATAAAGACAACGTCCGTTCGCGTACCCCACCGCCATCTTCATCCGTGGACCGATCCAACAAGCATCAGCATGCAAAGGAGAACACGTCGAAGACTCGTCGCAGCCGCACACCGGACAAGTCTTCACGAACGAGACGTGATCTCACCCCGGCGAAAAATCCCGAGAAACAAAGTGGTGGAGGCAGCGGTTCATCGTCAGGTCGTACGAGAGACGCGGAGAAAAAAGATCGCGATTCACATAAACGGGACAAGAGCAAGGAGCGGGAAGATGCGCGAAAAAGCGAGCAATTGAACTCCGGTAAGCAGGCGAAGCAAGCAGCGACGAGCTCCCAGGACGACAGCTATCGCAGGAACGCGAGCAAAGACTTCGATGATAAAGCGTACGGCAGTGGAGAGAAGACGGCACGGCAGAAAAGCCGCGAGCGTCGCGAGAAGGAGACCAGAGAGGAGCAACGTGGTCATTCGACACGGCTGGCTCGTGATCAACGGGAGACCCAACGTGACAAGGACGAATCCCAGGAGCGCTGTCGCGAAAGGCAACGGGAACGAGACCGCGATCGAGAGCGGGATCGCGAGAGAGAACGCGAACGTGACCGGGATCGGGATAGAGATCGCGACCGGGAGCGTGATCGCGAACGCGAGAGGGAGCGAGAGCGGGAGCGTGAACGCGACAGAGAGCGGGAGAAGTCCATGAAGTCGCGAGAAAGAGACGTACCGACCGCAGTGATGTCGTCCTCGTTGAGCTTGTCGGCGGATAAGAACTCGCGCTACAACAAAAACGTGAAGGAGCGTCCGTTGAGCAAGGACGTGTCGTTCGAGAAGGGCGGCGCGCGCGAACGCAGGAGCGAACGTGAACGGGAGCGGTCCGAGACGAAGGCTCTCGGCGAGCGGGAGAGGAACTCGACGCAGCGTCTGGATAGTAGATACGAGCGGGGTGTCGTAGAGAAGGATGCGGGTCGCAAGTCAAGTGTGAACTCGCCGAGAGACCGCATGGACCGTTTTCCGCGGGAGTCGTCCTTGGACCGGGCGTCTTTGCACGATAAAAGCACGCATCCTTCAGCGGCGTCAAGTGGTGTCCAGTCGACGACAGGGTTGTCCTCGTCAGTGCCTGCGGCTTCGTCTTCTTCGTCAACAGTGGTCGCGACATCTGGAGCCACATCATCGTCCCGGGATCATCTAATGGATATGGTGGACAGCGGTCATTACGATAGGGATAGTAGACACAGAAGGTTCGGCGTAAGGTACGAACGAGGACACGCGTCTGAACGAAAAGATCAGGCGCGGATCGAACGTATACCCAACAAGATCGATCGGATCGTAGACCGTCGGGATGCCACCAGTCCACGACGCGCCATGGATATAGATAGAGGCTTTAACAGGAATTACGGCAGAATGTCGGAACATTGGGACGAACAGGATGAGTCGTCCGCTCATGTGGAGTACCGGGATCACACTCATATTCATGAGGAAGACAGAAGGAAAACTGTGGACGGCAGAAGGTACGACAGTCCCTTTGAGGAGAGACGCGTCGCCCGTGATGAGAGATCTCGAGAGTCGAGATATGTGATTCAGACTACGGAGCGAGCGTCTTTCGACGATCATCGTCATCACCACCATCATCATCGGCATCCTCTCTATGCCGGCGACAAACTGAGAAGTAGCGGAACCAGTATCAGGTAATAATGTGTAATAAATCGGAAATTTCGGTTTATCCTTTTATCGCTCTATCTCTCTTATGTATCAAAAGACTTTTTCAGTTAGATCAAGCAAATAATTGTCAAGCAAAAAATTATTTGATTTAAATTGATTTGATTAAAATTGAACTATATATAAGAATAAGTTGTTTTTTAATTAAAGCAAACATTATAAATTCAGAATATATTCAAAGATACTTTTACTTTTTATCAATTAGAGACGAAGGTGTTTCTAATGACGATTGGGAAGGTCACCATCGCGACGTTGAACATGGTCGAGACCGGGGTTACCCGACGGTGGAATGGGAGGAGAGGGAATGGCGGACAAGAGCATTATGGGAAGGCAGGGACAGTCTTCCTCGCTCGGAGATACACGATGATGAGTGGAATTCCCGATACGACGGTTCTATCGCCGATTGGAAATCAAGCGATACCCGAAAATGGGATAATCAGAATGTACATGTGCGATCACATTACAGAAACGAGCGCTCAAAGGACTTGGAGCTCGGAGAGTCCACGCAGCACAGGTAAGCGTTCAGACGATAGCTATTATTGACGACATAAGATTAAGGAAAAAGGGGTTAAAGTAACATGGTATATCTAGATCTTGAAAGATATATTAATTATTCAAAATGTGTTACAGAATTTTACTTTAGAACTAAACACAAAATGTCACAGAATGTTATTTTATCATTTTACAAAACATACAGAATTTTATTTTCTTTCAGTAAAAGACGATCATACAATCCTCCTGAGACCAGAGAAGAGCCAGCTATTCATCCTTCCGCTAAGCAGGCTGCTATCTACGGCAGTATGAAGGAAGAACCTATTAACAAGAAGTTAATGGAACTTGCAGAGGGCAAACTGTGTACGACCAGAGAAAAATCCACGGACAATTTCCAGAAGAAAATTTCGCAAAAGGAAAAGCCCGAAATCAAGGAACCCGTCGTGATAGAATCTAAACGTGCCATCGCCGACGAGTCTCTGCAAACTCTTCATACCGAGAGCGATCTGAGCGACATCAGCGATGATCCCGATGATATACTGAATATGGAAGAAGATACCGTGGTATGTATATTCCGTATATAGACTCGTACGTCTATTTTTTTTATTTTTAAGTGGATATTCATGTGTTTATGAAATCTCAGCAGGATATGGAAGCTGGCAAAGTACGAGCGAGTAAAAAAACGCCTGACGCTGCACACGCACAGTCGACAGCGCAAGAACTAGCTCAACTGTCGCCGAAGGAATCGGTGGAGGAGGCTATTTTCAGCGCAAAGTCCAAGGATAACGCCGACGCAGTGTCATTGAGGTAAAAATCACATAGAGATTATAAAATATAAAAAAAATATTTATATATATATATACAGAGTGTCCCAGACTCTTCTTCTCACATTAAATGGGAATGTAGAACGGGTTGAGGTAAACATAAAAATCCTATACCGTTTTGTGATATTCGTAATAATAGTCGAGATATTAATTAAAAAAGATTAGTGAATGATCATGCGCGATATGGTAGATGGATTGTAATGGCGCTGTCTGCCGTTGTATACTTATACATTAAGTCAAACTGAACAAAAAAGTCCTTTATTATTTTGTAAATAATCACAAAGCTTTTTAGATATTAAAGAAAATTTGTGCATTATGGTATACATATATGTTACAGTTTTGTTTAATCTTGTTTAATATCTAAAAATCTATGTGGTCATTTGCAAAATGGTAGAGGACTTTTTTGTTCAGTTTGACCTAGGCTTATATTCTGAGTAATTAATTAAATTAATATATAAATTAATATATAAGTATACAACGGCAGACGGCGCCACTGCAGCTCATCTACCATATTGCGTGATCGTTCACCAAATTTTTAATTAATATGTCGACTATTATTGCGAATATCGCAAAACGGTATAAGATTTTTATGTTCATCTCAATCCGTTCTACATTTCCACTTAATGTGAAAAGGAGAGTCTGGGACACCCTGTATATATATATATATATGTATCCAAATTTACACTGTAATTCTAGACAAAATCGTAAAACTCGTAACTTGTTTTCGTAAGACTCGTAAGAATAGATCTGCAATTACACGTGGATCGTATGTAATATGATAACTCGTAAATATTGACAATTTCTTGTTTTTTTTTTTCGTAAGCTACGACTTTACGATTTTACGATTTACTCATATATTTACTTAAAATTACAACATAAGATCCAAAGTTTAAATTTAGGTTAGATTTTATTATATACGCGCATGAGTTTCGTATTTCAAATGTTATAAACGATTATCATATATCAGGAATATGGAGGACGACAATATGGAAACTATGGACTTCGAAGAGATTTCTGACGGCGAATTAGAAGAGGATATCAAGACGAGCGGCAAAGGATTGGGTGACGCTTTAGGCGTCGACTGGGAGAGTCTCGTGAAGGAGACACAAGCGAGGAGAACGGTTACGTCCACTCAAGATTCCACGGAGAACCGATGGCAATGCAAAGCTATTTTCTATCGAATCGGTATATCGAAGAAGTATGCGGGCGAAGATTTCGCGAAGAAACTTCTGAAGAAATACGAGAAGAACGGTGAGTGTTCTGCGAGTTAAAAATGTGATGAGATAGCATAATTATATGCAATGATAAATTTCACAGGTTCTATTTTTTTCTTTCTTTATAGATCATAAAGAGTGTCTACTTAATAACATCGCACTAATGCACACGGCACTCGCGCGGAATCGGCTGCTACAAGATTTGGGTAATCCAATCCATTCTGTAGATGACTCCTTGTATAGGTGAGTTGCGTTAAATTATTTTATAAATAAATGTTATATATTATATTACACACATTATTATAGAATATTGCATGTCAATGTATCTTTTGTAATGTTCTTGTATACTCGTCGAAAAGGTTGTCGAATTTTTTTTGTAAGTTTCGGAACTTATTTGTCTTGTCCAATGAAAGAATTTAATTTTCCAATAATATCTGATTGAAATCTGTTGCAGAAACAATGTCATGAGCTATAACGAAGACGTGGATTACGATTGGGAAACATTGAAGTCGAATAACGCTTTGTACGAGGAAGCAAAATGTTTATTACAGCAAGTTGTATAAAAGAATAGTAGAAATTAATATGTGACATCATTGTGATCTCTTGTACCTCTTTTTATATTGATCGTGCAAAGTATATACACATTTATTGTCTTCTACATTAATATATTTCATGATGTGTAATAGATCTTATTGTGATCTTATCGTATCCAACTGGCATAATTCTACAATCCAATTATCGATCAATCAATTAAATATAAAAATATCCAATTACTTTCGGTAATTAGTCCATAATTCCCATCAGAATATCTACATCGTTATGGATAAGGATCGTCAATAAATTCTCGTATATACTTCACGAAGAGATGCTTAATCATTGTCGTCAAACTCTGTTAGAATAATGTTCGCTTCTGTACATTTTATGGTAATGAATTACTGATATATGTGTGTGTGTTTGTGTGCGCGTGTGTTTGTGTGCGTGCGTGCGTGTGTATGTGTGTGTGTATGTACATAAATGTATTATATTATGTATATTTCGTGCGTTAAAGCACTAGGATTGAAACTGATATAATTGTAGTGAGCTAAATTCTCAATGTGGTATAGATGTACTTTATTCTAAACATCGTATCTTGCAGATATCGTTATCACGTATCTTGGATATTAACATTCGAGCTCTCAAAATTATATCAGTATTAATTGCTGTTTGCAAGTTAAACAACAAGATTAAACATTGTAATGGAGAATAATATTTCGCGTTCTTTATTACCGTATATAATATATCCATATGAATGTAGCCCACATTTTGTATATTATATATATATATATATATATATATATATATAATGTGGGTGACTAAAATATATATATATATATATATATAACCATATTTATTGCATTACATTCGATGTCTGCATGGATATGGGTATACATACATATATACACATATATGTATATATATATATAATATATATATAATATATATGTATATATGTTTATATATATATATATATATAT